GTGAGGATATAACAATGGCAGTGATGGAATTCTTTGAAACAGCACATATGCATAAACCTATCAACTGTACAGCAATAACCTTAGTGCCTAAAGTCAGAAATCCTGTGAGTGTTAAAGAATATAGACCTATCTCATGCTGCACAGTTCTATACAAACTGATCTCCAAGGTTATAACCAAGAGATTGCAGAAAGTTATGGATGATTTAGTTGACAACACACAATCAGCTTTTGTGCCTGGAAGAGTGATAACTGATAACATAATTCTAAGCCATGAACTAGTGAAAGGCTATGGAAGGAGAGGAGTATCACCCAGATGTATGATGAAACTGGATATGCAGAAAGCCTATGACTCCATTGAATGGCCATTCATGGAACAAGTTCTGAATGCACTGGCTTTCCCAGACAAATTTGTGAAATGGATTATGACATGCATGGAGACTGTTACTTATACTGTGATGATAAATGGAAACCTGACAAAACCATTTGATGCCAAGAAGGGGTTAAGGCAAGGAGACCCTATGTCTCCATTTTTGTTTGTGCTGGCAATGGAGTACTTAACAAGAAGCCTCAAAACACTGAACCAGATCCCAGATTTCAACTACCATCCCAAGTGTGCAAAGATGAAAATCTTGCAGCTTGGATTTGCTGATGACCTTTTATTGTTTTGCAGGGGTGATATAGGTTCAATAAAGCTTTTGTTCCAATGCTTCATGGAGTTCTCAAATGCTTCTGGACTGGTGATCAATAAACACAAGAGTTCTATCTTCTTTGGTGGAGTATCACAAGCTGATCAGGTGGGAATCCTAGAGTTTCTAGGAATTCAAAAGGGTGAGCTACCAGTAAGGTATCTAGGTGCCCCATTAAGCTCAAAAAGAATATCCATAGCCCAGTGCCAACCTCTAATTGACAAGATAATGGGAAGAATAGAGTCATGGACTGCCAAATTTCTGTCTTATGCTGGCAGAGTCCAACTGATAAAGAGTGTGTTATTTTCTATACAGACATACTGGGCACAAATCTTTGTATTGCCTAAAAAGATCACAAAGTTAATTGAAGCAATGTGTAGAAGTTTTTTGTGGACAGGAGAGGGAAGTATATCAAAAAAGGCTCTACTGGCATGGGAGAAAGTTTGCTTACCTAAATCTGCAGGAGGCTTCAACATTATGAATATAGCTATGTGGAACAAGTCTGCCATCTGCAAACAATTCTGGAATTTGTGCAAGGAGAAAAAGAAACTGTGGATCCAGTGGATACACAGCTATTACATCAAAGGAAGGCACATATGGGATGTTCAACTGAAACAAGCATCTTGGATGGTGAATAAGATCATAAAAGCAAAGGAGACATTCATGGAGGCAGGGCTCAGCTATGAAGATATCATGAATATGCAAAGCTGCTCAATTAAAAACATATATCACAGGCTGCGTGGAAGATTTGAGAAAGTTAGTTGGAGAAGGGTAGTCTGCCATAATACAGGATGCCCAAGATGGACATTTATACTAACTGTGGCAGCTCATGGGAAGCTATACACAAAGGATAGATTGCAGAAGTGGGGAATGCAGGTGTATCAGGAATGTGTCTTGTGCAAGCAAGCCAATGAAACTATACAGCACTTGTTCTTTGAATGCACATATGCAAAAGCATTGTGGAGCACACTGTTAGCATGGCAAGGAATTAGAAGACCTGTAGCTGGTTGGGATGAAGAACTACGATGGGCTGAGAAGAAGACTAAAAGGAAAACAGCTGCTGCAGAGTTGTACAAAATGACAGTAGCAGCAACAGTATACCATGTTTGGCAAGAAAGGAATACTAGAATTTTTCAAGCAAAGGTGACAGGTTGGGAAGCAGTAAGTAAGAAGATCATTCAAGAGCTACATTGTCGAAGTACCAAACATACAGTGGGAATGCTACATAGACTAGATTGGTACCCAGTGTAATAGTTAGATACAAGTGTAAATAACAGTTCATGGGGAGGGGTGTGATGTATAGGAAAAACGTATCTTGTAAGGGTTTGATTTACTTGTAAATATTTTCCCTGGTAATACAAAAGATTTAATTACCAAAAAAGAAAACATAGATTTATGATTTTGAAAGTAACTCAATAAAACTTTTAGAGCAAGTCAAATCAGGGCGGAGCTAGAGTATCGGGAGCGGGTTCGGCCGAACCCAATAGCTTTGATTTAAACCTTGTATTTGTCTTTAAAAAAAAGTCTATTGAATATGTACAAATTATTACTTAAAAGGATTAGAATACCGAACCCACAAGATTGAAATCCTAGCTCCGGCTCTGAGTCAAATACACCATATTCAAGCTATAAAACTTAAGTTATTATACAAACAGATTCTCGTTCGCCTGCCTTTAAACTCTCACAGATACCTCATACATAGGGAAAGGGGAGAAACTAGAACAAAATGGAAATCTTGGTTAATTAAGATGCCTACAACAATTGGCAATACATTAAAACTTGTATTTGTGAGAATTAAGTAGATTTAGTAATAGGGTATTTTTGAGCATTCTTGAGAATCTTGGTAAGAGCTGCTTGACCTAAATCAAGTCCACAAACATCAGCAAGCTGAACCAGATATAGCAAAACATCAGACAATTCCTCCTCCAAATGTTCCTTATCATCTGATGTCCAGTTAGGTAGTCCTCTTTCAACTTCCCCTTTCCACTGGAATATCTCTGATAGCTCTCCCACTTCTCCAACCTGGTCCAACAATTACAAGATAGAGTAATAGACTATAAGTTTCTTATAATATAAAGTACAGACACACGTCTCTATAACAACTATACCATATAATAACACTTCATTATAATGGCCAAATTTTCTTTGGAACCACTCTTCATGTTATGTTATAATATAATAAATGTTCTCTATAACAACACTTCACCATAGTAGTAAAAAAGAAAAACGAAGCAAACGAGCCTGTTATAGAGAGGTTTGACTGTATTCTATATATAGACAAAGACACAAAGTTAGATCTATGATAGATTCTGCGGGTTTAACTAAACTCATTACGGAGTATTTTCTATTCACACAATGTGACCAAAGCAAATTTAAGGGGTATTATCCCTTGTAGCCCGCGCCAGAAACTATTAATATTTGGTAGCCAAAAAAGTGTATAAAATTTGTATATAACATACATAATGTGTATATATATATATACAAAAAATATACAAATTTTATATATTTTTTCGGCTATTATTTTTACAGCGGCTATACAGTGTCATTTTCCCATTTCACATATTTGGTCCATGAAAAAGAATTAGGTATGCACATGGATGGCGTGTTGAGACATGATATATACTCAAATACCATGTTTGAAATTGTGTGATCTACTCATTCAATTAAAGGCTTAGGAAATGGTCACATAATATTATCATACATACGCAAAAAAATAAACTAAATGTATACATATAATAAGATCACACTGATTATGAATTTATCGACATTTTTTTAGGCATGTTAGGAGGCTTACCAAAGCTAGAAGAAGGTTTCTAGGACTGTGATACTGATCCCAACCTCTAACTCTGGCAAATTCTGCAAGCCTATCTCTAAGCTCCCGAAGAGAGACATCCTTCATTACCTTCCTACTATATTCATAGGAATTATTCTCCATCTTCTCTTATTTGTGTAGTAGCAGTAGTTCATGTTTCACTGTCTCCTTATCTCACTACTTATAGACAATCATCTATTGCTATGTATGTTTTATTTTTTTTTCAAATTATTATTATTTTTAAGATGGTGGGGTTTTAGGAGATATGACTAGCTGAGTTTGTTGCCATCATATGTTAAACTACTACTCCCTTCGGTCCAAAATAAGTGAGTTTTTGGATGTTTTCACACAAATTAAGAAATTCACCTTTTAGCATTAATTAGCAATGGAATTGACCATATTAACCTTTACTATCTCACATAAACATTCCTAACAGATATTCCAACACCATTTACTTCAAGGACAATGTAGGAAGAAAATAATTAATTCATTCTTGAAATCTGAAAAAATCACTTATTTTGGACCACAAGAAAAATGCCAAAAAATCACTTATTTTGGACCGGAAGGAGTACTATTTAGTTAGTGGAGGGGCCTTATTCAGTACAATAATCACGTGAGATATGGTAAAGATGTTTCTGTGTTTTTTTATTCCATGACTTGATATCACTCACTCTCATCACCTTCCTCAATTTGCAAGGAAAATAGGTTTCCTATTGGTCTACTATGGGACAATTCCTTTTTCCACGTTAAATCTCTGTCAGATCTCACCTACACTTGCTTTTAATCTTCCCCTAGCCTTTTATTTTGGATTTATCTCCTTCAACTTGTTGGGAGGTGGTAATTGAGTTTATTTTGTTGTTATTTTGTTTTGTTTTGATGTTGCAAGATTGACACAAAATTTGTTTGTTCTTCTTTACTTTTGATCGTGGAGTCTAGTAGACAAACAGATAGCAAGATCCCCATATGCCGTACTTGTATCGTAAATTTCGGATGCTTTGATCTAGACAATATGCTCTGTTTGTTTGGAGACTTTGTGTCCTATTGGAAAGGATTTAACTTATATATATGTATGGGGTCAAATTTGACCCTCAGCATCTCTACTCCAGTAGGTACGCCCAATAAGTATACGCCTGCCAACGTAGCGGGTACGACTCGGCCGTGGGGGCAAAAGCGACATCGTTTAAGACTCAATGTCTTCACTAGGAAGACGTTACATATCTTTGTAACTTTTTGATTCTTTCGAGGAAGGTATCCTATTATAGAAAGGAGACCTTCACATTGTAAAACGGGATCTGATCTAATACAATTATCTCATTTTTCTGGCTTTCTCTCTCTATCTCTACTTCAAACGAACGTATCTTATTGAGTTCATACTGTCTCTTTGCAATACTAGATCTATAACAATATTATCATCTTTGCATCTCTAGGATTATTATATTTGATTACGATTTACCCTTTTTCTACTTTTGATTGTTTCTTAGCTTACAAAGTATATTGTTAACTTTTGAGCCAAACAATTTGGCGCCGTCTGTGGGGTTTCGAGAATCAAAACCATAGTATCCACCTAGAGATCAACCAACTACCACCCTCTACACTTCAACAAAAAAAAACACAGAAAATGGCCGAAAATAATACAAGATCGAAAGCTATATTGGGTGTCACTACCAATCTCCTTGGCCCTCTCAACGAGGCCAGTGACGATGGCATCCTGAATGCAACCCCTAGCATCACACAGGATGCAGAGATCTCACCTTCCCCATCCGAAGGTCTGACGATCTTGCACGAAAAAGGAGCTTCCACATCTGCGGTTACGGAAGCACCCTCAGCAGTCAAAGAGCTACTGGAAAGATGGCTAACAAGCACTCTAAGTGGCTTGGTTGAGAGGTCACCACAAAGTAACATCGGATGTACACCAACGGTAGGTACCACTGCTGCCGTGAGCGAACCGGAAGTTACACTAGAAAATAACAAACCCATCAAGACACAGACCCACGATGGCACGCTAACAGCCATCCTAAAGAAGATGGAAGAAATGGAAAATGAAAACAAGGCGCTCCGCGGTCAGATGAAGGAACATCAGGAGAGGGTCGACAAGATCCCCGGTGCTCCCAAGTTGCTACCAAAACGCGACGTGGGAAGGTTCGTTGAACAACCATACACTGAAGAAGCTGCCCCTCACTCCACCCCAAAAACCTTCAAGATGCCACCCTACTTGAGGGTATATGACGGAACCACAGATCCCGAGGATCATCTGATCCACTACGTCACCGCTGTGAAGGGCAACGACCTATCGAAAGAACAGGTACCATCGGTACTGCTGAAGAAGTTTGGCGAGACGTTGACAGGAGGGGCCTTAACATGGTACTCTCAGCTACCGGCTAAGGCAATATCAACGTTCGAGGAAATGGCGGATAAGTTCGTCACAGCCCATGCAGGCGCGAAGAAAGCGGAGGCCAGGGTCAACGACATCTTCGCCGTCAGGCAAAACACAGGAGAGGGACTCAGGGACTTCCTGGCAAGGTTTAACAGGGTAAGGATGAGTCTACCAAACGTATCGGAAGGTATGGCAGTCGCCGCTTTCCAGAATGGGCTAAGCAGAGATGGTTCGAGGGCAACCAAGAAGCTGCTGAGCCGCCTCATGAAATATCCCCCTACCACATGGGAGGAAATCCACAACGCCTATTGCGCCGAGGTACGAGCGGACGAGGACGATCTTAACGGGCCAACCCAACGGCTAACAGCGATACACTCGGAAACGAGGAGAGATCGATGGAACGAAGGACGACGAGAACAACTCCCCCGCTCCAACAGAGATCGACATCAGCCATACACCAGATCCTCTCATCCACCACCAAGGCATACAGACGCGCTACAGCGACACGTCGCCCCACTCCGAAACGAAAGAGGTACGCCCCCTTTATTAACCGCCCATAACTTTTATGTATCTCCTTCAGAAATAGTGTACGCACTGGAGAAGCTGGGCACCAAGGTGCATTGGCCGCAGAAGATGAAATCAGACCCTGCCACAAGGAAATCAAACGCCCTATGTGAGTTCCATCAGGAACGAGGACACAAAACCGAAGACTGCATAGGCCTACGGCAAGAGGTGGCCAGGATGCTGAACCAGGGATACCTGAGGGAGTTACTCAGTGACAAAGGGAAAATCAACTTTGCACGCGGACGGGAACAACCCCAAGGGCCTCCAAAGCCACCTTCCCCAGCGCGCACGATAAACATGATCGTCGGAGGCGGCGACGAGTCAGTGATCAATCACGTCAAGCTCGCCACCACACACAGACTAAAGCGGACCATCGCCCATGAACGGTATGATGACTTCGAAGATAGTATCACCTTCGATAAGTCTGATACCGACGGTTTGTCTTTCCCTCATTATGATGCTTTAGTTATCACTTTACGTATTGCTGATACGGATGTTAAAAGAGTCATGATCGATGATGGAAGTGGCGCCTGTATTATCCACCCAAGGGTCCTCGTACAAATGGGACTCGAGGATAGGGTAATACCGCGCTACATAACACTAATCGGTTTTAACAATGCAGTGGAAAGGACGTCCGGAGAAATAGCACTACCCGTCTTAGCGGGAGGAGTCACGCTGGAAACAACTTTCCACGTGATGAACCAAGAAAGGGCGTACAACGTCATCATAGGACGCCCGTGGATACACGCCATGCGAGCGGTCCCTTCAAGCCTCTACCAAGTGATCAAATTCCCTACCCCATGGGGAGTATTCAGTATTCGAGGCGAGCCACGCACCGCACAAGAATGCTACAAAATAGCCCAAGACTGCGCCCACACCCAACAGCTAAAGGGGGCGAGCGCGGAAGCATAGCAATTAGCCGTGTCGGGGACTAAGGTCAACCCGACAACGGACGCCATCAAAGACCCTGACGTCGTGGAAGCCTGTAAAGCAACGGTCGAAGATCTTGACCCAGTCCAATTGGACGAAACCGATCTTACGAAGAAAGCCTATATCGGGCAAGGTCTCGCCAACCCAAGTAAGTATTGTGAATTCTTAACTAACCATGCAGATTTGTTCGCCTTTTCCCATTCAGATATGCCGGGAATCCCGCGAGACATCGCCACCCACAAGCTGAATGTCGATCCACTACATCCGCCCGTGCGACAGATGAGGAGAAAATTCAACGCCGCTATCAATGAAGCGGTCAGTAAGGAAGTAGACGAGCTACTGGCCAACGGCTCCATCAGAGAATCAAAGTACCCCGAGTGGGTCGCCAATGTTGTCATGGTCAAAAAGAAAAACGGGAGGTGGAGAATGTGTGTGGATTTCACTGATCTGAACAAGGCAAGCCCAAAGGATTCATTCCCACTACCCCACATCGACCAACTGATCGACGCCACTGCAGGACATGAACTACTGAGCTTCCTAGACGCCTACTCCGGCTACAATCAAATCATGATGGCCGAGGAGGACCAAGAGAAGACAACTTTCATCACCCACCAAGGGACTTACTGCTACAAGGTAATGCCCTTCGGGCTCAAAAATGCGGGGGCTACATACCAGAGACTGGTAACCAAAATGTTCAAAGAGCAGCTCGGTAAGACTATGGAAGTCTATATCGACGACATGCTGGTAAAGTCGACAAGAAAAGAGGACCACATCGACCATCTGAAAGAAACCTTCGAGATACTGAGAAGATACGGGATGAAACTGAACCCCGAGAAATGCGCCTTCGGCGTGGCATCAGGGAAATTCTTAGGGTTTCTCGTATCACAACGAGGTATCGAAGTCAATCCAGATCAGATCAAGGCGATAGACGCAATACCAGAGATACTGAACAGCAAAAAGCAGGTGCAAAAGCTGACGGGGCGAATAGCCGCCTTGTCTAGGTTCATCTCACGGTCCTCCGACAGATGCCACAAGTTTTTCAATGTGCTAAGAAAGGACAATGGGTTACAGTGGAACGAGGAATGCGTCGAGGCCCTAAGGAAATTGAAAGCGTACCTGTCTTCACCGCCACTACTAGCCAAAGCAAACCCAGGCGAACCACTGCTGGTGTATTTGGCCGTATCCGAGGTCGCCGTCAGCGCAGTCCTAGTTCGCGAAAATGAAGGTACACAATCTCCTATTTACTATATTAGCAAAACCTTAGTGGACGCCGAAACACGGTATCCACACCTTGAAAAATTAGCTTTGGCA